AGTCGGCAGACACCTATTCCACCCAATGCCTTGCAGAGGAAGTGGTAGCTTAACTTGGATAACTAAGAGCAGATACTTGTCAGAGACACATAAAGTGAGTAATTGGCTTCTTTTCCATGATATAAATCAACCCAGTCCTCAAAGACCAGGCTCTGCAAAATATCACATTCACACCTTTCCATCCGATCATCAGCAAGGCCAGTAGTTATTAAACCATGACAACCAACAGAAAATTAAAGGAAGTTTGTATTTAATTCAACTCAAAACAGTAAGTGTTTCTTGTTCAGAATGACTAAACTTTTCTTAAATGCTCCTGCCCCTCTGTGGGGACTTTTTTTTCCTAATAAGTGACTGATTTGCAGCACAAAGCTGGCCTGTAGGCAGTCAATGCTACACGATGCCAGTGATGGGGGAACAGACTTTGTTGGGCTGTTTGGTGCCTATGTGAGTCACCCGCCAGGGCCAGTGAGCCAGCCCACCACACGGTCGGGTGGTCTGTCCCATTCCTGGGTGGCCTTGGAGAACAACAAACCAATACTTTTTGCAATTAACTCAAATTGTGCATTTGAAATTAATGCTTCCGCTCTTTTTTCTTCCAGTCAGCACATAAAAAATCAAGACCTACGACTTAATACATGATTAAAAAAAAAAAAACTGTAACATCATTAAAAGCAATTAGGAGAAGAATCTATACACCATTTGAAAAACTAATACTAACTTAAAATTCTATTTTCACTTCAAAATGGTTTAATATTTCTTGAAACATTAAAGCCATGACAATGATGTGGGAAATAGAAATGCAATGACTAAATATTAGTTCTTTGGGAACATGTGTATTATCTGTTAATCACCTAGCCCTGTACCTCCTTCCTGCTGCCTGCCCTTGATCTATGGCCACTTTGAGGCCAAGCTTGACCACGGTGCTGTGCGCAAAGGTGGACAGAGCACAGCACGTAGAAGCAGCCCAATCTCCTTCTGGCTGTGCCAAGGAGGTTGTGTGAAGGGAAAGGCTACAGCTGTGGCAGAAAAGATGTCTGGGATTCGCTGGACATTTCCATTCTCAAGGTCTCCATAACTGTAACCAGTCTAGGTTACTAACTAGTGATGTCTAAGTACCATAGATGAATTTTCCATCATCATTTTCAGGAGACTTTCTCCAAAAACAAGCCACTGCAGCTACTGGCAAACATGCATTTTTTTAGAATGAAGGATGTTTGTTCAGGTTGTGAAGAGATCACGTGGGCGGGCCAGAGACTTCCTTGATAAGCAGCCCAGCAGGAGGCATGCATCTGTTCAGGTGGTGTGCTGCAGGTAATCCCCCGCAGATAACCAGCAGAGGCACCACAGATGGGAGCCTTGTTCTGGGCATGTCCATTCTGCTCTGTCATTGACCAGCTTGCACAGGACACTCATCCTCCTGGGACCAGCTTCCTCACTGGTAAAGAGGGGTCATGCCCTTCCTTCCAGACATTCAGGGGGCACTTAACGAGCTCCTGCATGAGGAGTGCCTAGCAAACTCCTGGACTCAGTAACGTCAGGTGGGGTGTGTGTGTGTGTGTGTGTGTGTGTGTGTGTGTGGAAGACTCTCCCCTCCCAGCTTCAGTAGCTCAGTCATGTCCAACTCTCTGCGACCCTAAGGACTGTAGCCCGCCAGGCTCCTCTGTCCATGGGACTCTTCAGGTAAGAATGCTGGAGTGGGTTTTCATTCCCTTCTCCAAGGGATTTTCCCAACCCAGGGATCAAACCTGGATCTCCCGCGTTGCAGTCAGATTCTTTACTTCTGAGCCACCAGGGAAGTTCATTGCTAACTGGAATTAGCCGTTAAAATAATTCCCAACTAGATTTTTATCTATAGCCTCTAGGGACTGGGAAAGGAGTTGGTAGTGGGAGCTGAGTGGTGGACCATCCGTGGCTCCTTTCCAACCAGAGATGCTAAGACCAGCCTCCAGGCAGATCAGAGAGGGGCCAGCACCCAGCTGGAAGTCACTGCCAACACCCATCATCCAAACAGATTCACTTCCCCTTCTCGAAGCACAGTTTTAATTACTCCTCAAGTGTCGATGTTTCTTTGATGGGTGTTGTGCAAAGTGCAGGATCTGGAGTCAGAGACAGCTCCATGTGGGTCCAGCCTCTTACCAGGAGTAACTGGTGAGCACCAGCAAGTTGCTTAATCCCTACGGTCTGCATTCTCCCACTCCAAAATGTATAAAGTGATGTACCTGAGTGTGAATATCCTGAATAATGTACACAAGGTACCAAGATTAAGTGATAATTAGGCACTTATGCACAATTTCTTCATCCCTTGCTAACCATGGCCAGAGGAGGGACACATGGGAATGAATGGACCCTGCCCCTCACACCACGAAATGCCATCTGCTTTGAGCAACGTGGTAGAATGAATGTTCCTGAAGACGTTCACACCTGAACCCATGGAGCCCATGAACTGGTTACCTTGCAGGGCAAGGGGATTAAGGTTGCAGTTGGGATTAAGCTTCTAACCAGATGCCCTTCAAATAAGGCGAACAGCCTGGATTATCTGGGTGGCCCAACAGAACAGCAAAAGTCCTTTCTAGTGTGAGGGGGATGGGGAGCCACAGTCAGAGAGATGCCAGGAAGAAGAACGGGAATCTTGGTGCTGGCTTTGCAGACAGAGGAGGGGATGATGCTGCGAGGAACGTGGGCCACCACCAGGGCTGGAAAGGAAAGATGGGTGGTCTGAGGACCCGGCCTGCCAAGTCTCTCTGGACGATAGTGAATCTGTGCTGTCTTAAAGCCACTAAATGCGTAGTGTCTGTTACAGCAGCCACAGGAAGCTGTCAACAGGCAAGGAGTCTGGAAAGACCCTTCCAGGCAGTGCTGGGCTGCTCTGGGGTAGACCCTGCATCCCCGCCCCCAGTCCAGTTTCAGAAGACCCCTAAACAAGTCCCCAAGAGTCATCTGCACACTCCTGGGAGAATTATTCAAAAGCAACTTGGTTTGTGGAGGAAGACTTGAGGTTCGTGGTGGTTCTGATGGGAAGATGCGGAGGAGGGCATGGTGGGAAGTGCAGGTGAGAAACAGAAGGCCTGGAGACCATGTTCGGGACCCTGCCTGGGGGCAGGAGCCCAGGCGGGGAGCACACGGGGAGGTCACGGGGACGGATGACCACTGCTCATCAGACTGGGCTTTTGACCGAAATATCACTCCTCCCCTCCCCAGTGCAGACTCGTCACCACTTCCCAGGCTCACCCTTCACTGCAAAGATGCACAGACTCCCAGGCGCAGCAGAACGTGGCCCCCGGGAGCACCCAGGCAGTGGGAGAGCCTGGGGTGGAGACTCTCTCGCCCACAGATTCTCCCTTCCCAGTTCCAGTTGGGTGGGACAGCAGTTACCTCCTTCTCCAGAACAGAAATGACCAGCCTGGGAGTTTAGCTCCACATTTAAAAGCATAACCTGCACTCAAACTGAGTTGATATAAATCTAATAGTGGGATGCTTGCAAAGAAGAATTCTAAAAATAAAGCAGATCATCAGAATGTTCGTGGGACTACTTCTTTTGACGTGGGTGCTTGCAATAATGCCAGGGTAGAAGCATAGAGTTCATCATCTACTCCATTTCTTAGGGTTTATGTTGGATTTCTAGTTCCTTTTTCACCAGAACAAAGGGCTGGTGGTGTGAACATAACAGCCTGGCCCTCCTAACCTTGCCTCCTGGATTCTGAAATGGTAAAGTGACCACTTGCAGGTCATCAGGCCAATGTGTCCCTTGCAGGGTCAGCTCTGATGGTTCCACCTGTTGCCAGAGCCTGTCCCCAGCCACCCCTGTCACCCAGACAGGGCTGTTTCCTGCTACAGTCCCTAAAGTCTTTTCTGCCTTTATTCTCTGTTGATGACCTGAGAAAGGGGATGGGCTGGGGCTGTTAGAACAGGATATGGGCTGAGGTGTGGCTCCTCTGTGGACCCCCACACTGTGAGGCGTGGGGGAACCAGAGCTGTTCACCCCTGACCACCCGGCCACTCCCCTAGGGGTTCAGAGTGGGTGGGCCAGGGGTGGGCTTCAGGTGGGCAGTGGTCGCCCAGTCCTGCACGGCTGTCTTGCCGGCCCCTGGGAAGACAGCTGGTCCTCAGGGAGCACTTCACAGGCTGGACGGCCAGGGGCATGGAGAGTGGTGATGCCTCAACCCTCCTTTTAGGCTGTTGCAGCAATGCCCATGTGATTTCCATGGACACTGATATCTTCAGTAATGATCCAGCCGTGTCTGGTCAATGCACTCAAGCAACCAATTTGATTGACTTTTAGTTGCTTCACTGTATCATTCAATTATTTGACTGTAATGACCCGATTTTTCAGAATGGCACACACAAAGCCACAACCCACACAATCAGAAAGAACAAAGACAGAGTGAACAGACAGTTCAGAAATCACACTCTGTCTGTTATGGAGGAGAAAGTGTAGAACAGGATCTACCGTTTTGTTTCCCAGAATGTCACTGTCTCTGTTCAGGGCAGAACCACCTCAGAAAAGAAAAATTAAGTACTTTAGAGAATAGAGGTTTATATTTGGCGGTGTGAAATCAGCATATCCTATATCAAAGCAAGAGGATGGAGATTCTGAAGCATCATTATTACCGACAGTAAAGGGTAAAGATGCTCTCACGTCAGCCCTTCCTGGGAGGATGCTGCATCTCCATGCAGATGCCCTGAATCTTCTGTGCATCACATTCAAATCCTGCAGGAGATGGGTGATCTTCTGTAACTGAAGGTGACAATTGCTGAGTTAAACTACGCCAGTTTCAGTCACAGAGCGGCCCTGGTAACACCAAGACCTCCACCCCATTCTCCATCGTGAGCCCAGGGGCAGTTCCCTTCCCAGGAAGGCTGCTCCCCCAGCAATGCTTCAGGAAGAGACTTAATTCCTACCCCAGTTCGGCGCCGAAGGTTCTGTTTTCCAACCACAGAACTCGGGACCAGCAGCCCCAGTCAATGAGCAGATGGCCGAGGCACGTTGTGATAATTCCACGATGCACACGACGACTTCAGAGACTTTGAAACCAGTTCCTCTGGCTGGCAAGTGGGGTCTGGATGGGTGGCCGGCCATCGGCTTCTCTGCAGGGTGAGGGTGACTGGTTTGCAGAGAAATCCTTCCATGCAGCTGGTTTCTAATGAACTTTCTCGCAGGAGATGAGATTGTCTTTTCCAAAAGCACCAGCAGAGAGGGCTGCCCCACGAGGCTGCCCCCACCACCAGCCCGCCTGGCTTTCCCAGACTCTCCACAACAAATGGAAAACAGCAGCCTGTGCTGGGCTGTTTATCTTCAAGGCTAGAAAGAGAAGGGCTGCCTGGCTGTCAGGATCTGGAAGCGTCCGTTCATCCCCGGGTATGTACCACGTCCTTCCCTGGCTGGCAGTGACCCGCACACGATGCCCTGAGCCCATCCTCAGCATTGCGTTCAACAGTTCTGGCAGGAGAACTCCATAAACTCCAACAGGCTGGTCTGTATGGGTGAAAATGTTGTGAAAGAAGCTCTGAGATTGAACTTTCCTTTCCCTGCACAAAGCTGAGTTTGCCATCTATAGAGTCTGGTCCAAGTAGTATTTACAAACAGCTTGTCCCCGGGCATCCAGCTAGTGCTCAGTGGGGGCCAAGTGAGTAATCACACCGTCGGTGCCTTCGTCAACTCAGACTTTTGCCTATTTTGAAGGTTGGTATTTTACCCCAAGTCAGGAGTAGGGCGTCTCTGTGTGTCTTTGTTATTGTTAAGTTGTCAAGTTGTGTCTGATTCTGCAACCCCATAGACCATAGCCCACCAGGCTCCTCTGTCCGTGGGATTTTCCAGACAAGAATATTGGGGTGAGTTGCCATTTCCTTTTTTAGGGGGGCTCTTCCCAACCCAGGGATCAAATCCATGTCTTCTGCTTGGCAGGCAGATTCTTTACCATCTGAGCCACCTGCGAAGCCTCTTATTGCCTTAGCAATCATCTAAATCAGTCCCCAAAATGGTTATTTTGACTACACTCAGAGTTTTCAAATAAATGCTTAAAATGTATCACGTTTTATAAAGCTATGCTTATAGTCACATAATTCTTGGTGAAAAATAATCTAAAACCTTTCCTAAACCTATAATTTAAAAACTCACAATGAACTAAACTTCTACCCAAATGCCATACATCAAACAATAGAAGACTGGGAACACAGAAAATTCATGGTCCGCATATTCATGCAAGCCTCAGAATTGTTTTGACAAATTGCACACCCATTCAGAAGGTTTTTGGCACCAGTTCAAGTCAGCTACAATATAGCTTTATGTCAGTAAACCCAGCATGTTCTGCTTACCTGCCCCTATGACCGATGCTTCAGAGACACCTATGGCCTGATTCAAAATTTCACCTCCACTCTTGTGCCCTCATAATTTTGTAAAAACACATAGCTTTGATCATAAAAGACTGATGTGTGTCTGTGTCTAAAAAGCAAAGATTTCCTGAGCAAGTTGAGACTTATTTTTCCCCGTTAAACAGAGGATCAGTTGGTTGGATGGTGTCGTTGACTCAATGGACATGAGTTTGAGCAAACACTGGGAGATAGTGAAGGACAGGGATGCCTGGCATGCTGCAATTCATGGGGTCTCGAAGAGTAGGACACAGCTGAGCAACAACAAAAAGAAGGCAACTCTGGAATGCTCCGAGACCTGTTAAAAACCCACAAATACTGTTTGGATCGCTCTTACAGTAGGCAAACATACAATTTTAAAACGTGTAGCGAGTTCAGTAGCTGACAGGGTTTTGAGGTGCTCATCAGCTCTTCTGCCAGCGTTTACAGCTGTAGTGAACGGTTTGATGCGGCTCTAATTTCTAATTATGACTTCCCGGGAGTGGAGCAGGTTGTCAATTTTGCTTGTCCTGTGGTGAGAAACAAAATGATTCTACTTTCTGCTGCCAACCCAATCATCCTATTCTTCAGCAAGGCTAAGAATAATCATCTAAATAACAAAAGTCAACAGGAGCAATTAACGTTTTAGGACTGGCTGCTCCTGACTTTTCCAGAGAGATTCAGTCAAAGCGACACTCAGAGAAGATCTTCAGAAAAGTCTCCTGAACTTTCCATGGCAAGACTCTCCCTCAAGCTCTGAAATACACACAGTCGGGGGAGGAAGCCCACTTCCCGCGTGTTCACACCCTGATCTGACAGCCCATAGATGCCCTTCTCCCCCAAATGGCTGCAGTGAGGAAGCCTGGACCAGTGAGACCCTCACTCAGCTGTCATCATCTTAAGGCTGGAGATTCTTCGCGTGCAGTGATCAGGTGGCATGTGGGCAGAAAGCTGAAGGAGATTTGTACAGAGCAAGGCCAGGAGATTCTGTTAGAACCAGCAAGGTCTCCTCAGTCCCTTAAAGCAGAAGAAAGAAAGGCTGGCAATGCAGAAAGACCATCCCAAGGTAGACCAGCTGTCCGCCTCTGGAGCCTGCAGTACTGTCTCCTCTCTTTGTCTGTCTTCTGCTTAGCACTTGATTGATGAGCTGGGATGGGTGCAAAGACCCATCTCGGATTCTAGCAGCCTGATCAGCCAACAATTGACCCCAGAGGCCAGGGATCAAATATCAGAGTGATATGCATTTCAATAACTCTGAATTGATACTAGGAGAGGAGAGGCATGTTCACAGGAGGGTGACTGAAACAGATTAAACATTCATGCTGAGAGCACCTGTGAAGGGCTCTCAGTGACCACAGTCATCAGCCTCTTGGGGAATTTCTCTTAGCCTAATCTGTCATCTTTTTATCTCACAGCTTAAATGTGCATGTGCTCCTCAAGGAGAATGATGGGAAGACTTTTTTAGTGGCCATGGAGGGATCTTCAGTGAGTATCTCTGTGGGCAGTCTGGCCCCACGGAGCTCCCACCAGACCCTCCTCACCCAGACGCAGGACACAGGGCTCCCTCGTGCCAGCAGTGAAGCAAACAACGACACCCCTGTGCTCCAATCAGACACACAAGCCAACACACTCCATTTTTCCTCTAAAGTGAAAAAAATCTAACATTTATGAATGTTTTCAAATTAGCAATGCTATATAAGAAAGATTCAGACAGAACCTAAGAACCTCTTGAGAGAGACATGGAAAGACTTATTACAGTGAACACACTCCCATTCTTCAGACTGAAGATGCTTTGGGACGACATCTGTCTTGTAATAGTCACTGAATATGGATGCTCAGAGAGTCAGTGTACTTAAAAATACTTTGGGTGCTGGTGGTTTAGTTGCTAAGTCATGTCTGACTCTTGCAGCCCCATGGACTGGAGCCCACCAGACTCCTCTGTCCATGGAATTTACTCTATCTTATTTCACTACCATAAGCATTTATGGAGACATCATGGTAAATTTGCAACAAGATCTAAACACATGCTTCCTATTCATTAGTGACGTGTGTGTACCTTCTTCATGCCCAAGAAACCATCCGAAAATGGATTCCTTGCTTAGCTTTCAGGAATTTCTTAATTTGGGCCTTTTAACACAAGAGTATCAGGTTACACTAAAGCATGACCTTGCTTGGCAGGAGGTATCATAAAAGTTATACAAAAGAGTTCCATTCACAAGGATGTTGGTGGCGTAGTCAGTCCAGATAATCAGGGTTTACTTAAAAGTAAGTGAACACAGAATCAGTTCTCCTAACCCTTCATTCTAAAATTAGAGTCTTTCAACTGCTTTATACAAGAGGCCACACAGTGTGGTCAGGTAATAAAAATAACAACCCAACATGAAAATAAACAAATAAAAGAAGCATTAGGGAGGAAAGATTAATAGGATAATCTAGAGTTATGTGGCTGTGGCATGTTATGAGAAATTATTTAAGTCATAATTTTCATCGGCCATGTTCTACCATAGTAAAAGTTCTGCATATAGGGGAAGCACAAGGAGGCAGACCTACTATTTTTGCTTAAAGTTTACTTTCCTGTAAGAATATAGAGCCTTGCATTAGGGCTAGTCCTCATGCGTGTGGACATCTGAAGTTAAGAAAAGCATTTGTCTTTCAGATAATAAAGGTACAAAATCCCAAACTACATGCAGATTAGTAAATGAAAATGCTAATGTTTTTCATTTATAATGGAAGTGATAAATAACCACAGCAGACTTTGATACTACATACAATCATTCTTAACAAATTTTGTTGTTCAGTCACTAAGTCAACTCTTTGCAACCCCATGGACTGTAGCATACCAGGCTTCCCTGTCCTTCACTATCTCCCTGAATTTGCACAAATTTATGTCCATAGAGTCAGTGATACCATCCAACCATCTCATCTTCTGTCTCCCCCTTCTCCTCCTGCCCTCCATCTTTCCCAGGACTGGAGTCTTTTCCAGTCAGTCAGTTCTTTGCATCAGGTGGTCAAAGGATTGGCGTTTCAGCTTCAGCATCAGTCCTTCCAGTGAATATCCAGTGTTGATTTCCTTAAGGATGGACTGGTTGGATTTCCTTGAAGTCTAAGGGACTCTAAGGAATCTTCTCCAGTATCACAGTTGGAAAACATCAATTCTTTGGTGCTCAGCCTTTTTTATGGTCCAACTCTCACATCTGTGACTACTGGAAAAACCAAAGTTTTGGCTATACTCACCAAATGTGCCTCAGCATAAACCCAGGAGCACAGGAGGTGAAATAAGAAAATGGACCAACCCACTTGGGTTGAACTTGGGTTTGAATCAGAGCCAGACCAGCTCCAAAGGCCATAAGGATGGTCCAGATCATCTCTAAATTGTGGATGCGGTCCCACGAAAACTGATAGCAGTGGGAACTTCAAGGTCATGGGAGTAAGACACAGGGAGCTGTACCTGCCACTCAGAACAGAAGAAGTAAAACGCAGCTGTGGGTTCACGCAGGAGGCTCGAGCCTATGCACAGCTTGCCCAGGGCTCACGCCCGCGAGGGTTTGTACTTCCATGTGCCTGGTTCTAGCCTCTTCCACACTACCTTCCTCCAAGATGGCACCTGCCCTTTCCCTGGAAGCTTGCATTTGTATCAGCTTAACAACTTAAGTGAGAAGGGTGTCTGTTTCCCAAGGGTTTTGACAAAGCCGGAGCTAACATGTTCCTTTGGGTTGAGTTACACGTGTGGCCTCCTCTGAACCAGTTGCTATTAAGCTTCACAGTCTTGGCTGGATTCTGAGCTCCTCCCTGGAGCCAGAGCAGTGGGGACAGCCACACTGAAGCCATAAGGATCAGTGACACCGGTGAAGATGGCAAATGAGGGCCCTTGAATCATGTTATAGAGTGACTGATCTCTTAGTCATTTTCCTATCTGTGAGTGAAAACACTAATCAAGCCTTATGCAACTGACATGTGTTAAACCAGACAACACAACACGCACACGGTATACTGTCAGGCTTCCAGTAAACTCTCAATGTTAGCTCCACCACTACTTGTGAAATAGTGAAAGTCTGTTCAATTAAGAAATGCAATGCAAACTATTACACCTAGGGTGGATAACCAACAAGATCCTACTAAATAGCACAAAGAAGTCTGTTCAGTAATCCTGTGATAAACTGGAACAGAAAAGAATAGAAAAAAGTGGTTGGATGGCATCACCAACTCAATGGACATGAATTTGAGCAAACTTCAGGAGATGGTGAAGGAGAGGGAAGCCTGGTGTGCCACAGTCCATGGGGTCACAAGAAGTCAGACACGACTTAGCAATTGAACAACTGAGTAACTGTTGTTACTTTGGAAGGACATTGGAAAAGCATCTGTGCTGAGTCCTGGTCTCTAAAAAACACTTATAAATTGTGGTCCACACCAAATGACAATTGTCTGGGTATGAGTTTCCCATGAAACCACACCTCATGGGCTTCCATTTGCAATTGACTTCTTTGGCACTAGTGGTGAAGAATCTGCCTGATCATGTAAGAGACATGGGTTCAATCCCTGGGTTGGGAAGATCCCCTGATGAAGGAAATGGCAACCCACTCCAGTATTCTTGCCTGGAAAATCCCATGGACAGAGGAGCCTAGCAGCCTATAGCCCATGTGGTCACAAAGAGTCAGACAGAACTGAGTGACTGAGCACTTCTAAGTGTCACTGTGTAACTTCCCTACCTAAAGCCTCTCCACCTGCACAGGACGGGGGTTTGAGGTTTTACCTGCACTGGAATTCCCATAATACTTTTACAATCCAGTCGTCAGCTTTCTGAAGAGCAGGGATAGGACGCCTCCTGGCAGGGCTTTCCAGGGGCTGAGCACCACGACCATAGCCTGGGAGAGACCAACAGACCGTTTCCATCTGACCACACAGCTGAGGGGTGCAGGCAGTCCCACGTGCAGCACCCCTGTAGAGCTGAGCTGGAGTCCCACAATGTGCGCAGGGCGCCTGCCCGCTCTCCCAGGGCTGCTGGCCAGGGAGGGTGTCCTCTGGTTACATGACACGTGTTCCAGAGAGTTGATGAGAACAAAGAAGAAAAGAGTGGCCCTGAAGAATAGTGTTGTATATAGTCACCATCCTTCTTTCTTTGGACAAAGACATAAAGACTTTGCGTCATTTCTAAGGGAGACAACACCCTCTCCTATCTAACCAGCTTTGCACGCCTGAGCAGTCAGTGATGATAAGCACCGGTGCTGGTTGCCAGCTGTTAGTTAGGTGACTTAATCTCTCCAAACCTATTTTTTGCCTGGAAAATGGGCATTGAGTGTCTGGTACTCATAAAGATTGTAGGAACTAAAATCCAAAGCAATAAATATTTTTGATCTTCCAATGGAGCTCATTTCATAATAATACATTGCATAATCAGAGCGCTTGCCCAAACTGTGTCTCAGTTTTCAAATTTAGAAACATGGAGGTAGTTTCTTCCTACCCCAGTTGCATTGCAGAAGTTGAGACTTTCCACAGGGAAACCTTTTTTTTTTCAAACAGAAACACCATAAAAATACAGAGTAACAATAATTCATTATTGTAGTACTATATATTTTTCCCATGCAATTTTTTTTTAATTTTTAAATTATTATTATCCTTTTCCAAGTGTAAATATAAAGACATCATACCAAATACCATATTTAAGGAACTGCCAAAAAACAAAATTAGGAGGTGTTCCTTGAGGAGAGGGCAAGAGAAGAAAAAAGAAATAGAACTTCTGGTGTATGTCGGAAGCTGCAGAACTTGATGAAGCCACTGAGAAGTGGGTCAGTCGCACCATTTCTACAAGACACTTCTTCAAACAGGAATGTTTAGATAGTTTATGATGCAATCATAATGAACACAGAGAATCTTCTGGTCTCAAAAAGAGAAAAGAAATTAAAAACACAAATACTGATAAAGTGTTCCATACGTGCACAGCCAATGATTTAGTGATGCTTCTTTTACATTAAATGAGCCAGGAGATCACAGACTTAAAAATGCTTAAATATGATTTTAAAATTAATTATGCTTCACCCATAATAGTATTTAAATTGTGTTTAAATTGCTTATTTATGCAATGGACTTGTCAGTTAGAAAATGTTTTTTTGCCCTGAGTTGCACTGAGCCTGGCTGTGAACGCGCTTGGTTTGATCTCTGGGATCCGAGCTGAGTTTGCAAAGACTCACAAGAGACTCTCATATGAGACTCTTGCACATGAAGGGCAGCCTCTGTGGTTGGAGCTCTGGAATTGGTTTTGATTTTTCAGAAAACAACCTTGCTGAAAGTAATTGCACCATCATTCTATTCCGTTTATATTTTGCTAAATTAAAAAATTTAAAATACTGTAAACCTTAAAGTATTTTTAAAATATTATGATAAAAACAATTTTAAATAGAATTAGAAAACAGAACTCAGTCTCAGCTACAGATCATAACTACTAGACAATCCACAGAAAATGTTCCCAAAGTTTAAATAAAAGTTCAGATTTGAGAATTTTTTTCTGTTTAAGGAAAAAAATCATAAAATCTACTGAAAAGGAAACAAAATGCTAACTTTAGAGGCAAAATGTCATATTGATTGATATAAATGTAACAAATATGGGCCCATGTGAGCATGTCACCTGTGAAAAGATGTGGAAAATCCCTTTGGTCTGCGCCCACCCAGGAGAAGGTAAGCACGGGTTCAGAAGAACTTACTCGTTGAGAAGCGTCCTTATGGAGGAGAATCTGATGGTAGGTCACAGTCCTCCCCATGTCTTACAGGAAGGAGGGTGGTGGCTGGTGTCGCCTCTGACCTTGTGCCCTGAGGACCACCGGGCTCCTTGCCCGTGTCCCGGACACGTCAGCAGCACTTCACAAAGCGCAGAGGTTCTGACGTGTGTGTGCTTGACTGAGCCACTCGGTGGTCCTGGCTCATGTGGTTTCATGTTCACGGGCTTTCCTGATATACCCCGCATAGATCTACATCCATAAGGGAGCACGACATCCCAGCTCCCATGGGAAACTTACTCAGCTTTGTTGAACTGCCCTTGGAGTCTCTGCTTTTTGATTCAGGGCTGAAACAAACTGAAGCAGAAAGTAACGGAGCCTTCTGAATAGTTCTTGTGCACCTAGAACAGTGGAAAAGTGGAAAGAGAGATTTGAGTCAAAATTTCTTCCTTAAAAACCCCAGGAAACCACTCATTGAATATACCATTCTCCATTTGGGATGCTGACCCATCAAACCTCACCTGCTGCAGGGGAACGTCTCTGGAGCTTTGTCAGGGCGTTGGTCCAGACTCATTCTGTGAACACATGACTCTGATGCTGGACCTGCTGTAATAAATGAACTGCCTACATCCAGCATCACATCAGACCCCCACCAGGTGAACCTCAGTGAAACAGTGCCATAGACGCAAACATGTCTGATTCCAGACGCCTCCCCCTGTCCCAAACCCATGGGAAGATGTGCAGACTTGGCTATCCCAGCGCCTTTCTCTCCATCCCAGGCCCACTCCCATGACCGCCCGGTGTACAGAACATGACTCTGTTCCCTCCAGCCATGGTCTGCTGTGCATGAGCCCACGTGATTCCGGCTGATAAATCTCACATCTGTTAAGGCCAGGGGAAAGGTTGATCTCCTGGTGCATGTTGAGACGGTCTGATTCCAAGGTGTCTGAGGGGATATTATTGATAATGATGGTGATGATGACGAAGATGAAGATGGAGGACTCCCACAAGGCTGCTCAGAGCCTCCATCCCAGAGAAGGACCAGTCTGTGTGTGAGAAGCTCAGGGATTGAAGGAAGAGCGGTGTCCGGCTCTCTAAAGGGTCTGGAATGAAGAAGCGAGCCCTGCCTTCAAGGCCTGCCTGACAGGCTGCAGAGGATGAGCAAGGGGACTCCAGGAAGCCCGGCTGAAGCCTCGGCTCACCCACAAGTCCCCTCACAGTGGTGGCTCCAGAGTCCAAGTCCCAGCTCCCTGGTCACCCTGAGCCGTGGTCCTGGTGGCTGGGGCCAACAAAAGCCCTGTCAAGCAGGCCCGGGGTAACATGGCTCGTGGACGTGGGACTGACCCCCCACCCCCGGCTCCTTTCCTTCCCTACTGGGCCGCGGGGCGGCTGCCCTGAGCTCCTAAGGACCCTGTCTGCTTCCCAGCATCAATGAGGCTGTGCCCACAGGAGGCGCGTTTGAGCCGCGGGTCTGCCCAAGCTTGTCAGCCCGCGGAGGCAGTACTTGGCTGCAGTGCAGCTCTGCTGGGGCCGTGGCTTATGAGGCCCCACCCAGGGTGGCGCATTGGCTGCCCTTCTCCCTCTTGGCAGACAGAGAAAATCCCAACGCAAATCCTGCTAAGGCAAGCTCACAGCAGGACACTCGGACTAAAGCTCTGTCTCTGGGCCAGTCAGCCACCTTCAAACGTGAGGCCCGCCCCACCAGACACAACTTTCCAGGCTTGTTACCGAGGCCTGGGGTGAGGACAGGGTACATGCACAGCCATGCACACACACACATGCTGCCACACATGTACACATATGCACCTACACATGTACACAAACATGTGCACACAGGCACACACACTGCCAAGCACACATGTGCACACACACCAGCATGCATGCAGACACATACACCCACATATGCACACAGCCATCTGCACACACACCACCACGTACTCATGTGTGTAAACACAGCTATACACACATGTGCACACACCCATGCACATATGTGTATACACTTGCACCCACACGTGCACACAGCCATGTGCACAGGCAGGAATGACCCTGTATGCTTTCTGTGCCACCACTGCTCATACATCCCTCTTTAACAATCATGTTAGATACTTTTGTTTCCTTTGGCTGGCAAGCTGGACAGAGCAAGGTGACAAACTCCACTCCTTGCAGGATCGTCCCATGGTGATCTCTCTCTCCTCGACATGCTCTCTTTGACACCTGCAAGGCATTCCTACTGTCTTACATGACCCAGCACTTGAAGCCAAATGGAGCCTCACATTTCAGGGAAGACTCGAGCGGTGGAATGGGCATGATTCTCACTGTGGTCCATGTAAGGCCAGGTAGTTTCTACTTCTTTTGGGTCTTCCCAGTGGAGGGAAATGCTCTCTGGGGACCCTGCTCTCTCTTTCTGATTCTGGCTAATAAATTTCATATTGGAAACACAGTTTATTTCTTAATGGAAATAAACTTCTTTGGGTGGATATTCTGTTATGGCTTCCTCTTTTCAAGGTCCCTCTGTGTCCCCCGACTCTCCTTTGCCCTGGCTGGTTTTCATTCTCTCACCCTCACCACCGAGTGCTTCTTTAGTGCTTCCACTACCCTAAGAAAGTTGAGTTTGCTTGTTTCAGTTTCATCTCGCACAGTCTTACATGTATGAATATGAACAGATCAAGTTCTCATGACACTGGTGTCACTGAATATTATTGATTTGCTTTTAATTACCTTCATCGGTTGCTACATTTAGCATGTTTTCACTGACACAGAAGAAGCATGTTTTACACACACGCAGGTACATAGCATCACAGGCATCTTTGCACAGCTTGATGTCACATAATTGTGACATCTGCCATCACCGTTGAGCTTCATAAAGTTTTTATTTCAATATTGGACTCCAGAAAGCACTCATGTTACCAGTCATTTAACAAGTGTTTGAGGACAGTCCATTAAAGCCTTTGAAATCTCTAGGGTAGGATGAGAACATAAAAGAATTGTATTAAATGTTTCCTGGATGCAAAGAATTCCCAGTCTATTTGAGAGTCCCAACCTAATATTTGTAAAACACTACAGACAACAATCTGCATGTTCTCTACTCTAGAAATTATGAGACTGCGGGTCAGTCTTTATGGAAGAAAGAACTTTAGATCAGGAAGGATGAGCGCCTGGGATTCATTTGGAGAGCAGGACCTAGGCATCGTGGGATTGATGCTAGGAGGAAAAACAAGGGAGGAGAGAGGAGGTGGTGCTGGCTTGCACCAGGGAAGGAAAGATGAAATGAAAGCAGCCAGATTCCAGTGACGAGGGTGTTAACTTCATCTCACCCAGCTGTTTTCTCCGAGTGTTTATGTAAAGAAAATTTCAGTTTATATAGAAACAACTGCATCTACAGGATCCCAAAATACTTCCCTGAAATGACCCTTCTTGAAATCCACGCCAGAGCTGGCCTCGGCCGCCCGCTGAGGGACCTGGTGCTGAAATGTCACGGTTTCTCTGCCCACACGTTGCCTTGTGATCCTCCCCCACTGATCTTTGCAAGCAGGAAGCGTATCCCGTGTTAACTGTGATTGGCTTCTGAGCTCCCGGACCACGGTATCCATCAGCCAGCCACAGCGAGCCCCAGCAACCTCGCAAAGACCACCGCTCAGAGAACAGCCTTCCCACGACTGCCGAGGTCGAAGAGAAAGCAATACCTAAGCACCATCACAGGAGTGCAAAGATTGCAATGAAACCCTGAGAAGTGTAAAACCAACTCCTAATTAGCTCACTTCCTAAAAGAGCAGGATTTACTCGCTGCAGACCTTCACTAATGAGCATTTCAGAGCTGAGAGAAACCAGATGCGCGCTCTCCCCGCCGTGGAGGAGATTGGACGGTACGTGGGATTTCGTGCATCTTCAACCTATCAATAGCACTGAGAGCACTTAGAGCAATAATCAATAAGTCATATTACCCAGATCCATAGTGTGACCATCCCACAGGAAAATCAAACGTTTTGTTATAAGGGGGCTGCTTGGCAGATTGTATTGAGATTTTTTTCTCTGATGTTAAGCATGATGGTTCTATTTGGGGCTCTTTTAATTAAAAGCAGGCCTTGCAGAGCAGCACTCTAGTTCTGCCTGCACCTGATTACACAATAAGATGCACAAATATTTGTATTCGTCTTAGCATCATGCTAATTTATGTTTTATGTTATACTGATTGCCTGAATCCGACCGGTTAAACAAAACATACCATTACATCCTAAAGGATATTCAATTATGAGGTTGGCTACTCTTCTCTGTGTCGTCATTTAGATAAAGGATATAATTCATTCCACGATCTTTTATTTATAGCACACAGCGTGTCATGCTGGATGTTAAGATATATACAAAAGTCAATTTAAAATACATTTGACCACAACCAATTTGCTGCAGATATATCCAATTCCTCATAACATTCTCCTAGTGGTCCTTTAGCTGTAACAAGTACCATCTTTTCTTTACCATGTTGCTGATTTTAACCAGGAGGAAATGTGAAAAGCCAGGTAGTGATAACCAGTGCCAATATTTCAAAAGTGTAGATAGATATGTAAGCATTCATTACTGTCTACATATCTGTTTTAAAAGTTAAACTTAGGCCCGAATGGAAAATTCAAAATACACTTCTTTCATGGATTTTAACTTAAAAATGCTAAATCTGTAAGACTTTGTGTCTTCTGCATAGAGGAGCCACAAAACACATCCCTGTGTTTCCCCTTTGGTTCCACCGGGACCTCAGACCAGCTAGTTCCTCAGTCTCCTCTGCTTCCACTGGGACCTCCACTGGTTCCTCAGAGAGGCAGGTTGGTTCTTTGTGGACCACACCGACACAGGTTTCACACCAGGTTCCTCCTGAAGCGGCCCCTGGACTATCAGACCACCAGGGCCTTGAGTGGCCACAGTCACTTGGGGTCAGGTTTCCTTTCACAAAAGAGCACGATTTAGCTCTGAGGACCTCTTCCCACCACTTCCTAAAGTCAAACACCAAACTGGATTGAGCTCCAACAAAACCATATGACGGCCCCCACCATCCTCCCAGAGAAGCGCATGGAAGTGAGGAAGCCAGGAAGCGCTGTGTCCATGGGAACAGTGCCCTGATGCTCGGGTCCAGACATGGGGGGGCCATAAGTGCGGCCAGGGACAGAGTCTGGATATGGGGAGGCCATGCATGTGGCCCAGAACAGGGTCTGGACCCCCAAGGGCACCCACCTCAGACTCAGGGTTCATCCAACCTACCGCCTCCGCCGAATAAAACAGGGACACGTACCAAGTAAAGGAACATTTAACAGTGTAATGAGATTTTCCAAGATGAGCAGGAAGAGAAGCAAAAAGCAGCACCCAGGCCGACGGAAAACAGTGAAATCTATGCTTGATGGCTCTTGGGCTGCTGCTCCGCGAGCAAGCGGCTGGTGTTCCACACCTAACAGAGTGATTAACTTCCGGAGATGGTGAACCCCCCAGATGAGCTTGTTCTCTCTGCACCTTCTGTTTCCTCTTCACAGACCAACGTCTCTCACATTAGTGAGATGGGACTCTGGTCTGAACCTCAGGGGAGAGCCAGGGGCTGTGCCCAGTGACCTTGCAGTCTCTGCCACCTCCCTGTGTGTCCTCACGCTAGATCCCTGTCCATCCACACACAGTGGACACACACGTGGACACACACACATGGACACACACACACAAACAAACACATATAGACACACACACGGACACACGTGGATACACATGGACACACACATGCAATCACATACATATAGACACACATGGATACATGTAGACTCACACATATGGATAATCATACACACATCGACACATATACATACAATGACGTACAAGCAGACACACAGGAACACGCATGGAGTCGCGTGTACACACATGCAGACACAGTCGCACATGTGGACACGCTTGGACACCTGTAGACACACACATGGACGCGCACACGTTGACACACAGCCTCATGACTCCCTAAGTCACACAGTGGTTGAAAGCCACCTGGAAACGTGAGGTGTTCACTCACGTGCTCTAAAGTCACTTCTCCTCATGATTCAGGGTCCCACCCCCCCAGCGCGTCCCTGTCAGAGTTCGACCCGCAAAGGGTCTCCAGTCTGACCCTACCACTTCCTCCCTCTTTCCCAGGGGCTCCAAGCCCCTCCACCCCCTGAACCACCAGCGAGGCTTGAAGGCGGCCCGAATCGGCGCATGTGTCTCAGCTGCGTCTCCGACCGGCCTCAAGACACCCGACTTGTAGGTGCGGCTTTTGGGAAACACAACAGACAGAAGTGTCCCTGTGGAAATATAAGTTAGTGACACTTTCATGCAGATGACAGTTCAAGGCTTAAGTCACTCAGCGACCCCTCTTCTCTGGGGCACAACCTCTATCAGCTTTGGTACCAGGACAAGCACCACGTCCTCCTGACTGGAGAACCAACACAATTCTGAGGTTGTGAAAGATGAGCCCATGTTCCAGGCTCATCTGTGGTTGATACAATTAGCTTTTACCTCTTAGGGAGCTAGAAACTTATCTCTAAGTATCTTAGTACAACAAAAAGGGGGGAATTAAAGTGCATTTGACAGAATGAACTTATGCTTTTTATTTACCTGTTTGCTCTCTAAATTTTAAATTGTTAGGCGCTTAGGAGTGAGTTTTCCTTGTTAATGAGTTACGTAAGGAAGAAGCAGAGTCTCCCAGGGAAGGAGGCTGAAAGCTGACTCCAGATAGAGTTCCTGGCAT